CTGGGACGACCACACAGTTCGGAAACCACCAAGAAAGGGACCTTCTTCTTCATTCGACCCTTAAAAAACTATTCATATATTTCTGTATAGTCAGTTTTAATGATAAATTGTCCTTAGCTAGCCCGTGGCGCTTGTCTAGATACAGCCCTGTCGTGGCTTACTGGTTGTTCCGTCCCTGTCTACGCCGACGGAACTGCTCCCCACAGCACAGCCCCAGGCTCTTTCCGGTATTAAAAATAATAAAGAGTCATTTAATCGACGGCAAACAGTTCCTTACTCTGTGAAGCTGGCTTCCACAGTCTTGGGCCACCAGTGCTCCTGTGGAACGTGAACTCCCGCGCAGTGTCTTGCTGTGTTGTTGCGATCCTTATCTCCGCTTTACAGTACTGATTCTTTTTTGTGACTGCCAGGTCATAAGATATTCGCATTGACGTCGAAAATAAGTGTTACGAGCCCTCGCTTGTTCCTGCTCTCCAGAAGGGGGCACTCGCAGGCGTCCCAGCGAGCCGTGGCGTGCGGAGAGCACGTCTTAAACTTTTTAAAATAGTTCGAGCTTTATCAACTTTGCTCTGTATCTTTTTAGTGTATGCCGCGCATGAAGCTCCTCCTGCACTCCTCTGGGGAGAGTTACCTGCTAGTCCCACAAGCTTAGGTGGCGCTCCCGAAGTCACGACAAGAATGAGTTACAGCGCTTCTTCGGCTCAGAGGGGTCTTACTTCTCCCTCAGGTGTGTCTGACTGCAGCGACAGTACAAATGTCGGCTTGTTGACCGCTGGTATGGATCGTAGCTGCGAGGACACAGTCTCCCTCTCTTCTCACTCAACAGTGTCGTCTTTCCCGGGCAGCCGGCCTTCTCCTGGAGATGAACGACGGTCTAGCAGCACCCCCAGTGGGGCCACTGACCAGCCTTTTGACTCTACAACTGATCTGAAAAACCAGTTGCTGTCCCTTTCCCATCCACTCCTCAGCTGCCTCCCCCTGGAGCACACAATTGTGGCCGACAGACGCCGCGTTTTCCACAAAACGCAGCTGTGCAGACACCTGGCATCGGGCTACTGCCGCAACGGACTTGACTGCCCTTTCGCCCACTCAGAGACAGAACTCCGGCCAGCTCCTCACCTTTCAAAGACCATGATGTGCCCGGCTGTGAAGGCGGGCGGGCTCTGCCCGAGAGGTAAGCCACATCCCGGGGGGCATTTTGCTGAAGACCGATTGACAAAGTTTTCAAGTGCAGCAATATCTAAGCGGCCTTGCAACTCCTGCCATCTTCTTGTGCCTTTGGCCCTAAGATGTGGGGATTGGAAGGCTTGTTATAAAACTCGTTATTGCACGTTTGTGCATGCGCTTCTGCTGTGGCTGCTGCTGGGGCTTGCGCTTCAGTTCTGGCGGGGGGAAACTGCTCGTTCGCGCACAGCCGTCACGAGCTGCGGCGCACGGCAAATCACTACAAGACGAACATGTGTCGGTCGTGGCTTTCTGGGAATTGTTTGAAAGATGACAAGTGCACTCACGCCCATGGTGAAATAGAACTTCTGTTTTACCGCCACCGAGCTCTCCAGTCCGGCCGTCGAGACTTCCTCGACGAGAGAGAGACGGCAAGGATTGGGAAACTGCCAACTTTGAGGAGTAGCTCCCCAAGCAAGTGTTCCCCTAAGCAGCTGAGTGCCGCGAGGAATTGCATAGCGGGGCCTAGCCCTCCGAAGAAGCCTCTGGCGCAGCAGCCCAACAGTGGCAGCTTCGCAGGGAGCCCACCTAGGAAAGGCTACACCGGCAGTGTGCCTGCTATACAACAAATTGAGCACAGCAGTCGCAAAAGCCTCACTCAGCAGCCCCCTGCTATTGCTCTTCCTGCGGTGTATCCAGCCTCGCCAGATGTCCTGTCTGAAGCAGCAGCCCTTCTACAGCTAGCATCTCAACTCCAGGCTCTAGCACTTTCTCAATCTAGGGAAAACCAGGCGCTGTAGATCATGTGGAGAACAAGATGACGCATCGTAATTCACGCCTTGTCTGCGGGAAACAGAAGGAACAGCTGAAGCTGCATCTTGATGTAGTTCTTTGTCTGGAGCCATCCAGCCCTTCTTCCAATGCAGAGGTAGCATTGCTTGTGGCGGTTTGGCCAGTCTCACACTGTGGGGAATAAGAAGCAGCTCGTGTTCACCATCACTTCGCCCCCCCAAAGGACGTCAATTTGTGAGGTGCCAGGTGTTCCGGCAGCCCCGAAGCCAGCCTACTGCACTGTTCTGCTTACGCCATTCCAGCCACTATTCGCTGCATTACTACTTCGCCTTTTTGTGGGTCTTCTCGCTGGCTGTTTGCCACTTCGTGCCCTCTGTAAAGGGCCCCAGCGGCAAGTGGCAAAGGCCTACCATGGTGTTCGTTGTTTTAAGCTTGTTTGAAACTCCAAGCGCTTGGCCTTTTTGTTGGTTGTTTGTTTGCTGTTTTTGTGACGGAATCAATGATGATACTACTGGTGAGCTGCTTACTTGCCCTTTCCAAACACAGTAAGTGTGCTTCTGTTCGAAAGAGCAACGCAGGAGCAAGGGGTTGGGCGAAGAAATGAACGACGGGGAGCAGTTGCTATGAGGAGGTGTTTGGTTTGTCTAGACTGTTAAAGAGCCTCCTTCATTGTCGCTGCGGCTCGGTCTCCAGTGGCTATGCTAGTAAGGCAGTGACCGGTCTGCTTTCAGCATTTGGAATTTGTTTCCACATCCTTGGTTTGCAGTGCTTTCTCCCCCGTGTAGTCGAAGCTGCGCTCGTTAGTACATTTTATAAAGTCACAAAAGTTTCCTTAACATAAAGGTGCACGTATACGGCTGCAAAATACGCCGTGAGCACCACACGCTGGTGTGTTGCCACCTGTTGTGTGAAAGGCATCAAGTTTTTTATTTTTCTCCGCAATCGTACCTCTTTGTTCGCATTCTTTTATCTCTATATTGTTGGAGGTTGGGCCCTTAAGCGCGGGCGATTTGCATGTATGGCTCCTTCCGTTTTAATAAGACAAACAACCTGCTGAGCTAGGGGATCAGCTGGCTCGTTTTTCTCTTTGCGCTTCTGCAAGAGTGCGCAAAACACGGCAATGCTTCAAGTAGGCGTTAGTGCAGCGCAACCGGATGATTTGATCCCCTCTCCTTTCAATCATCCTCCGTATAACTAGGCTTTGGCTACTATTATTCGTTTTTTTTACTTTTCCCGAGCTTCTTAGGTAGTGTAAGGGCAAAATAAGGGAAGCATAAACTGAAGTGTCCTTAAAGTTGGTTCATGTTGAATGCCACAATCCACCAGACCCATCGCGCCGCAGCCAGGGCTTCGACCAAAAACGAAAGTTTATTGTGCCAGGCAGAGTTCTTAAGAAACTAGCAAAAGGAACCAGCAATACGAAGTCCTCAGAGCGAATTTCGGCAGTTCCGGGAGCCACACCTATGTGCATACCCAGCAAAAAGCGATGGTCGTGCGTGCTCCTTTTCCGTGGTCGTCACAGATAGATTTTACTTTCCGGGGTCACTTTTTTGACTGCCTCCTGACACCGATCCACCGTCGGGACTAGACTTCAATTGCAATGCCCGTAGCTGCTCTTCTGGGACTACTTCCAGTTGAATGTGACAACTGCTAGAAAGAGCAGATTTTGCGTGAAAAAGAGTAAAAAAAATTTCTCTTTCCCGAGCCCCAGCTGTCTTCCGAGGGGGCGGGAGAACACGGCGTGAGATCCACATGTTGGCTGGACGGCGACGCTGCGTCAGAGCAACAATAGCGTTCAAGCAAAAGTTCAAAATATCAAGCTGATTATGGGATACTTATAATCAAGTAGCTACGTTCAGGCTGTGACAGCCATCGTGAGCCACCCACGGGCTGGCGAAAGTCAAAAGCTTTGCGAGATTAGATGCCTACACTGCCACGATGCTGCAATCTTCTTCAAGTTTCACCGTGCTGGACCTAGTGCCACTAGCTTCGCCCAATCATTCATATGGCAATTAACCATGCGTCTTTCACAGAGTCGGGTAGCCGTGCACAGCGACACGGCTGGGGTCGCGCCTCGCAGGCTATGCCGTAGCCTAGTTACTTCAATTTCACCAATAACTGGTGAAGGCTGCGAGGCTTCTTCGGCTCATTTGGACTTAACGCCGCGCAGTAGTGTTCCACCAACACGCCCCTGCAGTCACTCTCAGAGTGTGCAATTCCCATCCAACTCTCTTTGGATTCCTCTTCAATGTGGTACCTAACTGTGGTATAGCTTAAGAAAACGCAATTCACTGAACGCCCCAAATATAATTTCTTTGGTTAATGGCGCACCATTGTTATCCGGGGATGGTAAGCGCAGAAAAGTGCTGCATTGTTCTAGTTATCACCATCTCACCAAACGAATGCCTTTTTGAGGGCCCCACAATGCAAGCTTATTTCGGACCCCACGCTAAATTCAGGAGTAAACTAGACTTCTCCTCTTGGCCTTGGAGCTCAAAGAAGGCATGAAGATACAAGCATTTGAAGCGAACGGGGTTGATTTCCTCCACCAGCTGGCCGCCGCGCTCTCAGCATGATCTCAGCCAGCCCCAAACCCTGGGCTTTACTACCTTAGGTACTGGCGGGACCCGACAAACTGTCAAAATGAAATTAAAACCATCATATTTATAGTGCTGAACTAAACTAGCGTGCACCAGCTTGATGGCCAGCGTAGTGCTCGACACTACTGCCGCCCGCATCCGCCGCAGTGCAATTTCTCCTCAACTACCAAACGCCTCCTACACATTTTGTCCTTTGTGTTGTACGTTTTCTTTAGATTCTAAATAGTGAGAGCTGCAAATGCAGTTTATTTTGGGTTGTACCGGAGGCGCCACGGCCGCTTCACTGAGCCGGTGTGGCTTTCCCACTTCAGCCAAACGAAAGTGCACATATAAGTCCTAACGGCCAAAGGCTCGGCTGTGAGGAACGGTTAAGGTGGCAGCCCCGTATAGTGAGGCGTCCCGAGGGCTCGCAGCCCGCCGTTAGTGGCCTGCCCGTTGACGGAAATGATGGGGGGCCCCCAGAGGGGCCCCCCAGAGAGTCAGCAACAAGGGGGGGTTTCAGATTCAGGGGAAGCAGCGCAAGTTGGGAATACTTATTACTGCAAGTCTGTGCCTCCCATGCCGGACCCATGGCGCCAGCCTAATGCGTCTGATGACTTGATAGGCCTCCACCCGGAGCGGTAAGGAAACCTTGTGGTTTTGCTTCCTGTGTGAAATATTTCTCCTTTTTTCGAAACGTATGCGCAGAATTGTGTGATATTGTGAAATGTCACGTTTTCTCCGAGAAACTTTGTGCTTTCGCCTCCTGTGTGAAGCATTTCTTCTTTTTCTGCATTTTCTGCACAGCATTGTGGGATCTCGCGGAATATTTCATCTTTTCCGAAGTTTCTGCGCAGCATGTCCCTCGGCAGTCGTGTTTGGCGTGTGTGGACTCAGAGTTGCCTTCGTGAAGCAGCAAGAGGCTCACTTCACCTCTCGCCTCCGCCTGGCGACGCTGCGGCCCCGCGCCGTGTACGGCCCCGGCTTGCTGTCGAACACTTTGCCCCATCAAACTAAATTCTTCTGTCTTCACCAGCCCCTGCCTCCGCTGCCTATTCCCGAGGCGCACAGGTACCATCGGTTCACTCTGGTGGACCTTCTTGAACACGACGCGCCGGAGGTGAAGGCGGAGGCGGGAACTGAAGAGTTATCTTTCTTCCATTCCCTTTCAGGTAGCAACAGCAGCAGCAGCAGCAGCTCCGACAAGAGTGCGAAGGCTGCAGCAGCCAACGTAGCCGCGTTTCTCCTTTCTGCTGCCCGGACTGCTGCACTGGGGGAGCACGCGTTCCGAAAGGTGCCCATACAGCAGCAGCAGCAGCAGCAGCCAGTAGCAGGCAGCAGCTTGCTGCGCTCTTTCTCAGCGCAAAGCATTCGCCAGCAGCAGCTCCAGCAGCAACACAGCAGCAGCAGCAGCGCCATCGGGGCAGCATCTTCCGTGTCAAGCAGGAGAGGCAGAGCTGACAGTTATGTGAGCAGCAACGTGCAGAGACAGCTGCAGCAGAAGCCGCACATGCATCATCAGCAGCAACTGTACGTGCAGCAACAACCGCAGCAGCAGGGGATGCTCCCGCAGCAGCAGGGAATGCTGCCGCAGCAGCAGGGAATGCTGCCGCCTCAGCAGCAAGAGTGGAGCACTCTGTCGGAAGCCAGGCAGGAGAAAAGACGAAAACCCAAACGCAGGAAGCTCGAAGATTGGTAGCTGCAGCAGCAGTATACCTCGTTACATTCTTGTGTCCTCATGTAATTTCCTGGTGTTGTTTTTGCCCACTGTTGTTGCTGCTTTTGCCGCTGCTGCTGCTGCTGCTGCGCACCGCGAAACGGGACAGCTGAGCGAACAAGCGGCCGCAGCTGGAGCCAATTATGGCCATCTAAGCAGGGCAGCAAATGCAGCAGCAAATGCAGCAGCAAACGCAGCAGCAGCTGTTGGAGGGGCATAGGCTCTCCCCAGTTTTTAAGGCAAAAGTAGCTCGCACTGCTGTTGCTGAGCAACTGTCTATCTATTAAGTCCCACTAGACTCCCTTCGGTTCCCTCCAGAGCTGAGGCTCTGCATGATATTAGACGGCCTATTTTCATCCTGCAGCAGCAGTTGGCAGTGTACAGAAGAAGAACTGGAGACTTTACGCAGAGGCTCTCTTGCTGCAGCTCCGCTGCGCAGCGGCTTCTTTGTCTGCGCTGTTTGCCAGCTGCCGCAGTGCCCTCATGGCTCTTCGTAGCAGCCGCAGCTGAAGGTATACAGCTCTGGCATTATCTATTGTAGCGCTTAGGGCGTAGGGCCAACACTTCGAGCCCACGTGCAGGCCGAGTTGGTACAGAGAGCAGACAGCTGGGGCTAATTCCCGGGTTCTGGCTGCACCGTTTAGCCCCCGACTAATAAGTAACGATAATATTGTGCGTAAAAGAAGGGCTGAAGTGGCGGAAACAAATAGTAGAGTAATGCGTTGCAGGAGCGGCCAGGCATGTGGCGTCCGGTTGCATCGACAGAGAGCGGGAGCTAGCCGCTGCAGCCTGCACGGATTTAGGTTAAGGGGGGACTTGAGGAGAATAAAAAGGTTTTATTGACTTAATTCTAAAGAAATTGGTTGCATGAATAGAAAACGGCGCGGACGAGGCTGATGCGGCAGTGGTCAAGAACTGCCACAGACAGCCGACGGCGCCGGCTGCCCTTGCAGGTGGCGTTTCCTCTAACGGATAATGCATTTGTCACCTTTTCAGTGTTTTCCCAGGAATGAAGACCACAATTTGAGAGGTGTATTGAAGTAAAAACGCTCTCTTCTTCTTTCTTTGACTCCGGGCTCCTCATCCAGCTGCGGCTCGATCCGCACTGCCTGCTTCGCCTGCGCCCTGCAGCAGCCGCCTCGGCTGCGTCTTAATAGAAAGGCAGCTCTTTTGCTGCGCCTTGCTGCATTGTGTCACCAGCAGCTCTCCCCCTGCAGCAGCAGCAGCAGTCGGCGGTCTCCTGAGGGCCCCGCGGTTTTCTCATGGTAGTCCAAACATGTTGTTGTCTATTTGTTTCTTCTCTACCCCCGTCACTTTCTGGTCATGTAGAGGGCGAGCTCCTCCAGAGCCGCAGTGAGCAGCAGCAGCAGCAGCAGCAGCCGAGCTAACAGCCGCTGGACTCAGATTAGCTCCAGCTTGCCACTTTCCATATAGCCCTATCTTCCCAGCCTAGAGAAGTAACTCGAACTTCATGCCTCCAGGAGTGCCGTGAGGGGCCAGGGAGGCGGACTGCATGTAGCAGCGGCAGCATCTGCGGCAGCAGCAGCAGTAGCAGCAGCAGCAGCAGCAGCAGCAGGTAAGGACAGGCCGGTCCTTGCTCATCTTATGACGTCCACAAACACTTTAAAAGAAAGGGAGACAGCGCCAGGCAGCAGCCGCGCAGTGTCTCTTATGGAGGCCCCCATGCAACTTGAAGGGGCCCTGCCAGCCTCGCGTGTGCCTTCGATTGTTTCCGCACTGACCTACAGCAGCAGCAGCAGCTGCTGCTGCTGCAGCAGCAGCACCGGCACCAGCAGCAGCGCCAGCAGCACGGGGGGCGACTTCCCCTGCGAGGAGGTAGAGAGGGTCAGGGGGCCCCCAAAGCTGCAGGTTGCTGCAGTGCAGGCAGCTGAAGCAGCAATAGAAACGCCTCATCTGCAGAGCAGCGAAGAAGACGATCGCTGCTCCTGTTTGCTGCTGCCGGAGCTTCCTTTGCAGCTGCCGCTGCATCTGCCCGCGCAGCTTCCGCTGCAGCAGCAGCAGCAGCAGCAGCAGCAACAGCCGCAGCGGTGTCCGAGTGAGGGTGTGTTAGATGTATGCTCCTGCCTGACATTTGATGACCTGCCTCTGCTGCAGCAGCCGGATCCGCAGCCGAAGCTGCAGGAGGAGCCGCAGCAGCAGCAGGGGCAGCGGCAGCAGGAGAACAGCAGGATTTCCGGTGTTGATGACGCAGCGCCGGTGCTTGTGCTGCCTCTTTTCAAAGTTGTTGAAGACATTCTGGCGCCCAGAGGCCTCTCGACGCCGAACTCGCACTGGCAGCAGCAGGAAGCAGCTAGCGCGGGCCAGAAGCCAGCAGAGCAGCAGCAGCAGCAGGAACCCCGCAGGCTGCGGAAGCAGCGGCGGGTGCCCGAGCTGCAGCAGCCGCCGCAGTCCGAAACCGAAGATGAAGAAGACAGAGCGCTGCGGTGGGAATGCCGCGTGGTGACCCCGTGCGTGGGGGTGGGTGTTGACTGTTTATCTGCAGAGGGTTGCGGATTAATAGTTTGTGGCTCTCCATTTTCTCTTTTCGACAACTGCTGCACTGTGGAGCTGCCCGGCTCTTACTACATAGGCGGCGGCAGCAGCAGCAGCAGCAGCAGCTCCATGCGCTGCCCGCTCAGCCCGCCCATCTCGGGAGCCCGCGCCGCTCGCACGGCTACCCGCAGAGGCAGCAAAACTTTGGCGCATTTGGGACATGTGGAAAACAACACGTTGGAGTGGTCGCATTCCTCAGGAACGGAAATAGTGGAGGACTTCGACATTAGACCCATCAAGGTCTTTGTGGGCACCTGGTGAGATACTAGGAAACAAGCCTTGACACGTGATGGTTCATGTTTCCAGTTCTTGCAGCAAGGGTATGAACATGAACGTGGGTTCATTGCAAATTTGTTTATGGCAAAATGTGCCCATATAGGTGTACCTCGGCGCCTGATTGTGAGTGAAAATATGCAATTTTTGATATTTTCTTGTGCATGCAAATCCCCGCAAAAGTGCGAAGTGCTGTGTCTATTCGTGGGCTTTGTGGGAAACAAACTTGCACAGCCCCATACACCTAGAGAAGCAGCAGATGCTGTATTTCGATTAGCCACAGAGAGGCAGAAAGCTGAACACTGAGGGGAGGAAACAACAGAGATTTGATATGGAGTCCAAAAGAAAAACAGACAAAAGAAGTCCAGAAAACAGCAGCAAGGAAGGCCAGACAGCGAGACAAGCAGGGCCAAAGGCGGAGCCCGAAGCAGCAGGAGGAATAATGAGTCACAGAGCCCTGCAGGTGTAGAACCAGACGCAGCTACACCGGCAAATCTGCGAAAGCGGGAACTTTTGAAACTTGAAATAGGCTCTAAGAATAGAACTTTTCTATGAGAGTTCAAATCGAGGTGGTCGAGGCTTTTTGTGAACTTTCGCTTCTTTTACCCCCATAGAAACCACTGCATGGAGTCTTTTGCCAGCCACAGGCTCAGGGGGCTTTTGAAATCCACTGCATCCAGTGGGGTTTCGGGGCCGCGGATATTTATGAGATAAATATGGAGAAGCTGTGTGCGCAGCCCGTGCCTGTAATTGTGGCTTTGTTCTTCTGCATTTGTATTCCTCTTTTCCTTGCCTTCTCGTTCGTTTCTTCCGTCGTTTGTTTGCACAGGCTTTGCTGCATATTTTTTCATTGGCTGCTGCGTATGCTGCTTCATTTGTTGGCGTTTTTGTCCTTTTTGTGCGGCGCTCAAGGAATACGGAGTACCAGGAATTTGCAACAGAGTACATCAGCTCCTTGGAGGCTCAGCTTCAGGGCAGAAGTTAGTACATCGCTCAGGCAGCCTTTTTTTTCGCTGCTGTCTTTGAATGATTATCTTCCTATTCTCTTTCTAAGTGGCTGTTGTTACCTTTTTCTGCATTTGAAGGCTTTTTTGGTTATCGTTGTCCTTTTCCGTTCGATTTTTTCTCTGTTTGCCTTTGACAGCGTTCGCCTGCTGTCTACACTGTCTTGTCTTCCTCCTGTATCTGCGCTCTGACCTACAGACTTCAGTCTTATTGTGGTTCTTCACCTTTTTGCATTTGTTTGTCTGTGATGCTGTTAATCTTTGTTCATTTCGCTGTCCATTCCTTTTGCTAGCCATTTATGCTGCTACAACCTCTGTGCTTGTGCTTGGGCTTTTGTGATTGGCTCTGGTATAATAGCGTTCGGTCTTCCCATCTCTCCCTGTTTCCACTGTTTTTGTTTTTCCTCTTTGGCCTTCTCTTCCTGTTTCTCTGGCTCCATCCGCCTCTCGCTGCAGCTGCAACTTTACCGCAGTAGCTTTGCATTCTGTCCTTTACCCCAGTGGCTTTGCATCTGCTTCTGGATTTGAACTTGCATGTTTTGCTGCCTTTTCCCGCTGCACTGCGCAACACCAGGCGGAAGCCCGCAGCGCAAAGGCCCCACCACTTCGGTGGAGTGGAGCGAAGCCGGCAGCCAGGCGGTCCGGCTGCGGGCCTCGCAGTCCTCCACCTCCACCCTGACCATTGGTCAGGACACGGAGGTGGAGAGCCACATGGACTCCGACAGCGACGACTCCACCCTCAGCGAGGCTCCACCCCTCATCCAGCGCCGCTCCACTCTTTCCCTCAGCAAGCCGGCCCCCAACCAGCAGCCGCTGAAGGACTGGCTGCTTCCGGGCTACGACGTTTACGTCGTTACGCTTCAAGAAGTCACCAGTAAATGGCCACTTCCACGGAACTCGCTTGCATGCGCTGCATGCATGCAACGCATGCAAGTGCCGCGAGGCATGCTTCAGTTGCGGCTTGCGCAGCGCTGACCAGACAGCTGGCAGCCAGCCGTTCAAGAGCAGCTGCTGCTGGCTGCTTCTGGCTGCTGCTGCTGCCGGCTGCTTCTGGTTGCTGCTGGGTGCTGCTTGCTGCTGCTGGATGCTTCTGGCTGCTGCTGGCCGCTGCTGGCTGCTGCTGGTAAAGCAGCACACAAATTCGAGGAGGGATCAGGGACGGACTGCTGGGAGTGTTTGAGTGGCTGCTGCAGATGATAACATATTTAGCGCTATTGGACTTTATCTCGAAGTTGCAAATGGGGAACATTACTTGCGAGTTAGCATGGGAGACGGCAAAATATCTGGATTAGGCAAAGGGGCCTGGACAAAGATGAAGGCCACTTGTACGACTGTGAAATTGCAAAGAGGGCATTTATCTTTTGCCTTTTTCTCTGCTCATATTCTTATCTGTAAAGCCTTTTCCTGCATTTTACCTCTTTGCATTTCAAAAGTGTTTTCGCGTCTGCTCTTTTATTGCTTTTCTGTCTTGTCTTTTTTGCTGCTTGCCTCAGTCATGCATGTATCTCTTTGCTGCGCATCTCTTGTCCTTTCTTTTTGTCCTTTTGCTTTTGTTTTTCTTGCCCTGTGTCGCTAACTTCTTTTCTACTTGTCAGTACTGTCAGCTTGCTTCTCAAGATTCCTTGCACATGGTGGCATTTCTCTCACTGTCACATTTTTGTTTTGTTTCATCTCTCCCAGCATCCACGCGTTCTCTTCAATAAAAAGAATACGTTTTTTCACGAACTAGAAAGAAATAACTTCATTTTTAAAATCTGAAATCTCGCACATTTTTCTTTTTTCTGCTTAGCCATGGCCTGCTGGATCCGACAGTCCGCGCGTTCTCCAGTTGGGCCGGTGACCCCTTTGGCCTACAAAGCTTTTTCCTTTAGTAAGCAGCAGCAACAGCAGCAGCAGCAGCAGCGGCAGCAGCAGCAGCAGTAGCAGCAGCAGCAGCAGCAGCGTTGCGTGCGTTTTGCTTCTGCTGCGGGCATGCGCGTTGCTGTTGTGGCAAGCATTCAGGTCTCTGTGCTGGCACAGCTGCATGCACTTATGTGTGCACTTTGTTGGGGCTGCATGCATGCGGCTGCTGCTGCTGCTTCTTTTGGGTTTTGTTCAGCGAGAATAAACGCGAGCAAAGGAGCTTTGACTTTGGTGTTGAAGATTCATGACCAAGTTGTCTGCTTCGTGGGCTGCCACATGCCAGCCTCGGGCGTCAAGGTTAGTTGTTCTCTTTGATTTTTTTTTTCTTCCGTTGATTTGTCATCATTTTGTTCTCTTGATCTACTTGTTTACCTTTCTGTTTGTTGTATTTTCGCTTAGACATGCTTATGTCTTCTTCCGTTTCTGGTGACTAATCATCATTAGGCTTTCATCACCATCTTTAGTTTGGATCGTTCTCTTGCAGTTTGATTTGTGGCCACTGCAGCAGCAGCAGCACTGCTTGCTGCTGCTGCTTCTGTCTTTGCTGCTGCGGCTTTTGCCTGCGACGGCGCAGCCGTTGGAAAGCACGGCAAAATGGCTTCTTTTCGTGTTTCATTTTCTGCTTTGCAACTCTCTTCCTTTGCTGCCTTGTAATTTTTTCTTTTACGCTCTTGGCCCCGGTGTGAAAATAAATGCATGCCTGGGACCTGCATGCATGCACTGGATGCATGCGCCGGCGCAAACGCGTGCGTTGCATGCAAATGCATGCGCTGCACGCGGACGCCCCGAGCTTTTCTTTGCTGCGCAGGGCCGTGTACGCGCCCGCAAGCACATTCGCCAGAAACTGGCTCAGGTCTATTCAAATTGTGCAGAAGCTGATTTCACTCGGGTGTTCCACCACGTCATTTGGGCTGGAGACTTCAACTTCAGACTGCAGGCCACCCCTGAGATTTACAGTGAGCTCCCCCCCGCAGCAGCAGCAGGCAGCAGCAGGCAGCAGCAGGCAGCAGTACTCATTGCAGCCTAACCTTGCCCTTAAGCAGCACATGAGGCTACACTAATGCAATCCCGTGCACATAGACACAGCTACCTTGCTGCAGTGCAACAATTGCTGCAGCCGCAGCGAATGCCAAGGGGCACAAACAGTTGGGAAACTGGTGCTTTTGCATGCATGCAGAGAAAACATGCTGCAGCTAGCCTGTTGCGACGCAAGCTCTGCAAAAGGCTGCAGTATTGCTGCTGCTGGGCTTGCCATTCTGCCGAGTTTGATCTGATTTGCTGCTGCTGCTGCTGCTGCAGTGCCGCTGCTGGAGAAGCTAAACATTAAGGCCCTACTGCAGTACGACGAATGCAAGGAGGACTTTGGCCAAGACATGCAGCTTCACGTACACCCCAGCACTTGCAGCCTATCGCTGCCTTCTCACTTCTTGCAGTTTCTTCACTGCATGCAAATCACTTTTTTGTTGTCCTACTTGCAGCTTTTCTACTAACTTGTTTTTTCCGCTTTCTCACCTACTGCTTCGCTAAATCACTTTTTTGCTGTCCTACTTGCAGCTTTTCTTTTAACTTGTTTTTTCCGCTTTCTTATCTACTGCTTCGCTTTGCAGCTCTTGCCCCACATTTCAGAACACTTTTGCCCTCCCCTGTGCATTGAGATACCGCTGGCTAGCCAGCATGCGTTTCGCTAGCAAGCTAGCTAGCTAGCGAGCTAGCCTGCATGCATGCTTGCATGCATGAATGCATGGGTGCATATATGCATGCGTGTGGAGTTAATTGCACTTTTGCGTTCATCTGCGCGTACATATTTGTGTTGATCAGCAAATGCGGGAAGCGCCTGTAGAGTTTTTGCCAACCTATAAGAAGGCAGATGGCCGGCCACCCCTAGACACCAGCGACCCTGACTGGCCTTTGAAAGAGTACCAAGTGCAAATGAAAAAGGGAGTTCTGGGGCAGCGCAAGACAGTAGAAAGGCCTCCCTCGGTGAGTGCAGTGTACGTACACCTGAATAAGACACCGTGCCGCTCGCCGTTCTCTCTCAGCTTCTTTATTTCGACAGAACTGCAGCAGCTGCAAAAGCTAGGGGAGCCTGCAGTGGAATATTTAAGCCTGCTGCATGCGTTTTGCTCTTCTTGCAGTGGTGCGATCGAGTCTTTTACTGGTCAATGCCGGCAGTGAAGTCCTTCTTAAGGACGGTTCCTGGAGCTTACTTCGCTGCAACTCCCAAGGAACCAAGTACGCAAGTGCCACTTTATTCAGGCTTTAGCATTTTTTGGAGCTCTTTGAATCTTCTTTTTTGCACAAATCAGCTTTTGCTGCTGACGTGCTCGGACAAACAAACTACCACAAGTTCGGGCTTATTGTCGTTTGCATGCTTTTTCTCTCATTTTCTTCGTGAATCTTCGCTGCATTTCGTGTTTGTGCTCAAGTTGGAGTTTTATTTTTATTTGTTTTCTTCTTTTTGTGAAAGTCCGGCCGCCGCATTGGCTTCCTGAGTGTTGGGTTTGCTGCACCTTCGCAGGTGTTCTCATGGCCAGCGACCACGCCCCTGTGGGTTGTGGCTTTTATCTTTACGCTTTGCGTTCCGAGCCTCCCCGCATATTCTTTGGCCAGAAGAATCATACAGACAAAAGACAAAAACAAATTAAAGAATAATCCCAAAGAGCCATACTGGCCCCTCTTGCTGCAGCAGCAACAGCAGACAGGTCGAGCCCCAGGCGCAGCTAATGCAAAGGCAGTGAGCGCCCCCTCGCCTGCTGCTGCTGCACACTTTGCTGCAGCAGCATAAAAAGAGTCAGCGGAATCTGCGGGCTCTTCTCTAAGTTCCCGCAGCACTTTTCGCCTGGGCTGACTTTATGCAGACATTTAGTTTAAACCCACCCCTTGTCTGCTTTCTTTAGCCAGTGTTTCAAGCACCTAGCCAGCTAGCTAGCGTCAAGTCGAAAGGCTCTCCAGCTAGCTAGCTAGCTAGCCAGCTAGCTAGCTAGCCAGCTGGCTAGCTAGCCAGCTGGCTAGCTAG